AATTATCTTGAAATAAAAAAATTTTAGTTAACTCAAGAAAGCTATTTATTCGGTGGGTACTAATCACGTATTTACTTGTATTTAAAACGTTTATTTAAGCTTAAGTTAAGTATTTATTTATATATGTTTAAAAATATATATATGCTTAAAAAATATAATTTTTAATTAAATATTTTTATTTTAATTTTACAAAATATTTATTAAAATGCATTTTTTATTCCCAAAAATTTTAAATTTTTTAATTAAAAAAAATAATATATTTAATTTAATAAATTATAGTATATATTTTACGAAAATAGTATTTAAATATAAAAAATATATAAATGAAAATAATGTACTTAATATAACATGCATATTTAATTAAAATTAAATGCTTTTGCTTAAATGAAATAAACAATTCTTTCCTTTTAAAGTAAAAATTTCAAGAAAACAAATTTATTTTATTTAAAAAAATTTTTCCCTCAGTGTGAGAAAGTGAAAAATGATGTTATATAATGATGTTATTGATGAATATTATGATATATAATATGATGAATATGATGTTATATAATGATGTTATTGATGAATATTATGATGTGGAAAATAAGAGATTTAAAAATGACAGAAAAAATAATGAATAAGAAATTTAATGGCGCTTTTAAACTTTACGCGTGTATTCCGTAGACAATATTTATTCATTAGTAATAGCTAATTAATGTTCCTTTACCGTAAAGTAACGGTAACTATAATAGACCGTAAATAGAGCGCAGGAAGATGTATTTCTAAAACTGTTGTATCCATAAATATACAAGAAACAGTTCTAAACACAATGTTTCGCGTTCTTCCATGATCCATTTTCGTATAGCTCGATTATACATGATTGAATGGACGTTCTTCGTTTTATAGCCGAGACCTTGAAAATCGCCAACTCATCAAATTTTTGTGTTGTTAAAAAAAAAATTGCTTGGCGATAAACATCGACCGCAGGTGCATAGCGAGACGATCGCAGCTGCAGAACTATTTTCGGTACTGATGATCTCAACGTCGATCATAAGCTCAGTTTACCATGTTAGGTAATATTTGTTGTGACTAATAATGAATGAAGTAATACTTAAGTACACAATACCATTAATATTTTAATAAAGTAAAAGAAAATCATATTAATTATCAAATTATTAATTGTTATCAATTTTAATACAATTAATTTGATAATTATTGTTAATAATTAATTTGATAATTTATTATTATTAAAATTGTTCTCTTCAACTAATATTCTTTTCTATTAAAAAACAAAGAGTGAAACGAGGTTACTGAGAAGTTTAAAATAAAATAACTCATATCAGTCCGTAAAGAAAACTATTAGCATGTACATGTGGAATATTTGCATATAAGAAAGGCTACTAGGATAAGAGCCTATGATACCTTAGAATGACATTAAAACCAATGAATCCTGACTTTCTCCTCGACAATCAGGTTGCTTATACTCATGTAATCTGACTCAGGCCATCACGATCGCCCACTGATCGCACCTATTCACATGATTGGCTCACCTGAACCTACATCGATATTCCTGAATCGCGAGAATTCCCGACGATTTCGTGTCCTGCGGGACCGGTTCGCCCCTGCATTCCTGTTCATGTGTCACATGTCGGTGACTGTAGTCTCCTATGAATGCAAAAAAATAGAGTGGGCGAGAGCCTAAGACCTCGTCAGGTTCGACCCACGTTCACTAAAATAGTATGGAACGTTTATCCATTACAATTATACAAGCATACTAATATTTTTCTGGATTTTCTGAACACAATAATAACACGATACATTATATTATAATTTGGAAAAAATATTGAAATCACGGATAAAATTTATTTTCAGAATAATAATTATAATTCGAAATCATTACAATGATTTTTATATTCGCCAATTAGCTATGTGTGATCGGTAAAGTTTGAAGTTTTTTTTTAAATAAAAATCTTCAGCTTCTATCGTGCTTGCGTCTATTCTCAGTATTTAAGGAAATTATTCGCGACAAAAATAATATGATATTTCTTATTAATATTTCTCCCATTGCTATTGTAATACTTTTTTTGTTTTTGCACATCAAAGGAACGAGTTTTGTAAATAGTCATTTATTTTCTACGCATATTATTTATCTCTAGTTATTACTCTGGTTTATTTAAGCGCAAATGCACCTAGTTAAATATTTCTATATTATCTCGACTTAATCTTGCGAAGGGAAACCTGTTTCTGTCATTAGTTATAATGACGCGCGTAATTATGATTATATATAATTATGATGATAGACTGGCAGAAAAAGCGAAAAACTTTTCTTTATCTTTACATTTTTCAAGTAAATTTCTATTTAAATGTAACTTTTAAAAAATAAATTTTAATTGGCCCGATCATTTGCTGTTATTAATATTGCGATATGCAACTTTCATGACATATCAGCGGACGCTTATGAATTGCTTACATAAGCAATATAATCGTCTCTTTCTATGTATTTGCGTACGTGTATGGCGCTTACCTACGCTCGCTGCACCAACCTAGAAGTCGATGTGTGCCAAGGTTACTCTATAGGCAATAGCATTTCCATGTGTTTCGAGGTGAAAACCTACGACATGGAATTTGTCCTGATAATTTTCATCGATAGGAAATAATTGCTCGAAAAATAGCATGTGCAATATCCAAGTACTTTAATCAATTTTATTATCTAAACGTTAAATTGTAGCATAATTTTAATACGTTGCTTAAATAATAATTGATTATTAAAGCCTATTCAAGTATGCAGCCATAGATCTTCATAATATTAATTGCGCGTATGATATGAGGTAATAATCGCCGATTAAATTCGTCAGCGCAGATTAGAATAATCAGACGAGGAATAATGGCCGAAGTTATTGCTTATTATTATCGTTATTGAACGTCTTTAGATGTTAATAGACTTTAAATTAGCAACGTTACAAAGTTAGGTCACTGGATCAAAGTCAAATCAAGTATGTATGGATTATCATCTATTTGATTACTTTACAGACAATCATTATTAGTGTTCTACAATTTAAAAAATATATCGCGTTTTAATAACGTAATAAAATTTCATTATTTATCGATATATTTAATAATTATATACTTTTTCCAATATTGCAAGATATTTCAAGATCAACAACGATATATCGATGCTATAATATCGATCGCGTAAATATCGATGAGATAATTTCCGTCGAATGGGAAGAAAGCTTTTACCCTTTTCTACGTCAAGCTAATGTCCCGGAATCGTCTGACACAATATCAGACAATAAAAGCTACATCGTTAATCATATCATTTGTCACGAAGTGTGTTAATATCCGAAAAGCTTTTAATATTAATATTTTCCGCAGCATTTACTTGTCAAAAGTGTCACGAAAGAATTTAAGAGATGCAATCGAAAATTAAACTAACTTAAATAAGTCTTATATATTTTCTGTGTTTTATTCAAAGTAAAATAATTTCTTTCAATTTCGATCTTCTAGATTTTTAAAATCTTTCTTTTGAAAAATATACTTTGTATTTGACATAAAATTTTATTTGAATGATGAATATAAAAAAAAAATATCCGGAAATGGAGGAAAAATTCGAAATATATTGGATATTCGAGCGAAATTAATTATCTCCTCTACAGGTCAAAGTAATACCGATACTCTCTTGGACTTCGACCAAGGCTGACACACCTTTCGGAGGTAATTACACGATCGATTGTCTTATACCACCCTATTTTCATACTGACGTTGTTTAATGCCGGCGGTCACATTACCTTTTATTTCCGTCTTTCTGGGTTGCGTTATTGAGTCGATTCTTATGCACGCAGATAATAAATTACTAGTAGGTAATAAATTAAAAAAACTTCGAATATCTGTTCCCAATTATTTTAATATCGACGATTCCACTGAATTGGTGGGAGAGGCACTCGCGAAAAAACAGTCTTCCGTTTAATAACGATAATAGCCAATTTGGCACACGCGAGGCGATCGTCATTAAGGTAATTGAAGATGTCAAATCATCGTTTCTCGGCATTTCTTTCACGTTTAATCATGCTTTTAATGTTCAAGATACTATCATTAATATTAATATTCAGTAAAAGTTACATTAATAAAGTTATTTTGCGAAAAAGATCTCGAAGAGTAGTCTTCAAGTAGTTATGACACGTTGCAATGCTTTTCTCCGGAAACGAGTTACGGGTTAATGCCTGCGGTTCTATGCCTGCCGTCATTCACATCATTAATTCCTCGTTATCATTCCTTGTTGATTTTATCGTCACTCGTGTTTGTTTGAAATCCATTACAAACACATGCGCTTAAAATATGTTTATTTCAATTAATTAGAGATATATTTTGAGAAAAAATTATTTGAAAATTAAAGAAAATAAATTAATTCCAATCCTTTTCTCTCTTCTGATCAAATAATTGATATAGAGATAATGAGAAAGCAACGAGAAGGATTAAGGAGGATCGATATAACGAACAAAGCATTGTAAGAAAGTCTATTAGCCATATGAGGTTGCGAGACCAGGAATAATTCTGATTGTGATACTTTCTCTACGAGAGAGAGAAAAAAATACAAGAGGCAACTTATATGAGTATGAAATGACTCCTCGAATGTAGTATTGCCTAGTTCAGAACGTAATTGACAGTTTTTGACGTCTCAATGGCTACTGACAGCTATACCTGAGATTTTGACAGCGAAAGCTATTCGTCGAACATAATTCATCGTCCATTAGTTAGATCTTACTACCAGATCTTATGCCATTGATCGAAACAGTCCACGACTGTTGACCTCAATCTCGGAAACGCGGACATGCTTATCGAGTCTCGTTAAATCGATACAAATGATACAACCTCGACGTTTAAACGATCATCTATCAGGGACAATCTCTTTTATGAGACAACTCTTAATCGCGCCATCGGTTCCAAATCTATCGGAATTATATATATAACTGTACGGTCTTTCCTTCGATTCACTAACAGCGTCATGCTTATTTTTTTTTCAGGGCAGTCGTGGGCGCACCGGAAGCCGAAACTGCGCAAGCCGGTGTTTACCGAGGAGGCGCAGTCTATAAATGCGATATTGCAGTAGACGATAGATGCAACATAATCCACTTCGACGATAAAGGTAACAAAAATTATTATTCATTGCGATTATTTTAGTTTTGACGAATTAATGCAGCATCGGTGGCTGTTAAAAATTAAGATTGTATTTTAAAAATTAATTAAATTTGCACCAAATTAAAAACTTTCCATAATAAAAAGTAAACTTTTGTCCATTTCAAAATTAATTTATTTTTATGAAATATTTTTTTTGTGAAATTGTAATATACATTTTTAACTATATATAAGTTTAACTAAATCAGAAATATTTTACATATATTTTGTTAAACCTATATATTTTATATGTATATATATTATATAAAATATATCGGATAAATTTAATGATGCATAATAGAGATCATTATCTGCATCTGTTACATTTTTTTAGGGTTAGTAAAATATTTTAATCTAAATTATGATATTTTTAACTGCTTCATAGGCTTATTAAAGGCGTTGAAAGATATATAAATATAAAAAGTTTTCACCTCATGTTCTCCAGACTGTCCTGTGAAACAGTTGACCTACATTCTATCTTTCTTTAGCACTAGTGTAGCTTCTTAATCTTGAGAAGAAACCGGCAAACTGAATGCAGGGAACGTGCTATTTTTAGTTAGTGCCAATACACCCACCCTGTCGTTGACCCTACTATATTTCGATACTTGGCAATTGCTGCACGTGACGTTACACACTGACCATGCATGATTTATTATATATCTAGTTCACGTCATTAATTATATATAGGAATAGGAAGAGTCTTAAATCTTGTTCAAGATCATAAATCGCACTTTGATTTATCAAGAAATTGTCTAACAATGATAATATTGAATCAAACAACTTGTAATTCAGTATACTAAATTTTTCCTAAAAAAATCGTAAAATTTTATTTTTTTAATAAATTATATTCTTTTGAGACACATAAATTTCATTGAAATTTTAGTATTTTGATTTTTGTAAATAAATGTGATCTTTTCAACTTAATGGAAATCATATGAATCGATTAATCGAGCTCTATCTCGACATCTAAAACTATTCAAACGTCGGGAAATACCTCTAACGAATCCGATTAACCACCATAAATTCGTGCTTTCGATCTAAGAAACCTGCGGCCGCTCGTTCTCTGATGTTCACATAACGCTCAGTTTATAAATCCAGGAAGGAAACGTTGCGTAAAGTCTGACGGGGAGAAGTAACGCGCTCGCGAACCAATTAGAGTGACCGCGTTTAAAGTACGGAGCTCATAAAGATCTCCGGTAAAAGCGAGGGGGTTAAAAATATGACTCGCACTCGCGCCCGATGCAATCTTTCGCGCCGCTCATAAACATGCGCGTGAATCGAACTAATGCAAATTAGCGGGATAAATCTGCGGCGCGAATTAGACGCGGTTACACACCTCGTAACGCTATCGTATCTCGACGGCGATCCGCGATTTCGACCGACTCTCGCAGGTAATATCGATGCCGGTTATAGATTCGTTCACGCGAGAAAGCAAAATTGACCGCATCGAGCACGATCGCCAGGAAATCGCACCGGACCGATACCCCGTTGAGATTTCCACGTTACATTATCCAACGAATGGAGCACGTGAGTGGGATCAATCGGTAACGCGAGATCGCAATAAAAGAAACAATCGAAACGTATGGAGATACCTATATATGTATATCTCTTCCTTTTCAGTGCGTTCACGCATAATCGGGAAGCTAGAGAATGCGTGGATAGTTGAATCATAGCTATGTTTTATTACGAGAAAGATATGATGTTTCTTACATATGTATTCGTTCCATTTGAATCTTGATTTTTTAGATTCTTATGATTATTTCTTCTGCAATCTTTTTTCAATTGATTCGACATAATTTGAATTATTTTATCAGAATTAAAAATTGTGTGCCAATTGTGTTATAATAATTAATTATTAATTTTATAAACTTTTTTCTCGCATTTAATTACAAAAAATAAATTTGCAGGTTAAATAACTAAATTAAAATAAAATTTGAAGACGATTAATAGATTTGAAGATTTAAGAAATTATGAATCGATGAACTGCATATAGCTTTAATTAACGATCATTATAATTAAATTGTCCATGCGTAAAATTGCGCAATTGCTTTCCAAATCTATTTCTGTTTTATATTCGATTTCATCGATTTGCATTCACGCGAAGATCTTATTCTTATGCAATAAAAAGTACGGGACTTCCCCCGGTCTTTTAGTAAGTGTTTTTCTCTTTCTTCGTTTCCGTTTAAGTCGCGTTGTTTTACTCGAGGAAACATTTTCGTTCAGCTGCGCATACAAGATTCCGACTTGTACATCCAATTAGTCCGATTCACCTCTCCAGTTCCACGGTCGGCCACTATTATATCCGCGGACGAACATTTCGCTTTGATCGATAATTAGACCGAACGTGCTCTATCCTCCCTCGATCTTGTCCAATTAGGATCGTACCCGGTAGTCGTAGCTGTTCTTGCTCCGGCGTCGTCGATTCTTGGCGCGCGAACGAAAACATCTCGATTATTTCTCGAACCTTTGCACGTACGTACATATATAAGCATTGTCACGCGAGATTGGGTTTTCTCGCGATACTCGTTCGCGATATCGTCGAAAGCTTGCTTCACCACGTTCGCCAAATTCGCGATTTCGCGATAATTGAACTCCAGCTTCAACATGCACCCCGTTACTGTTCACGTAATTATTGAAATTAAAAAGCATTATTTAGATGTATTTACGGTATTTTTTAATTATATTTCATGTGATTAGCAATTATTTAATCGATGAATTATTTATGTATGTTCGTTGAAACATAAGTTGCTTATTCAAAGCAATTTATTTTCTTTTATTCAATTTACATTGGATACTTGAATAATATTTGTATGAATATTTAATGAATTGCTTTTATTTATTCTTTCTTTAATTATATGCACTACGCAAGAGCGTTTCTTGCCGTTATCTAAATAATGATATTCAATATTGGGTTTGAGAAGATATTACGTAAAATCACATTCGTTCTTCAAGAAGGCCGTTTCACGAATCCGTATTTCTTTTAAAAGTTTATGTTACGGTTTAAAATAGTGGAGGTTAACCATCGTCCGGATTTACAGTGTGTCGTAGAAATCTCGCGAACGGAGTCGCTCTCAAAAATAACCATCGCCTGGTTTCGCGATGGAGCCTCAACGAGAACAATATTATTATTACTTTGACGAATGATTTGTTATAATTTGTACAGAACGTCTAACTTTAGCCACAATTTATTCGAGAAAACTACAGTTGATTTTTCGTACTTTATAAGCGCACTTTTTTTCGGATAAAAAATTGTTTAAACATGCATTTACTCTTGTAAGTTTTCATCTTTTTATATCTGTAATTTTATATTAGATTTTTTTATTAATAAATTGTGTTTGTTAAATGAATTATTAATGATATATATACAATCGTGAGGAGAATTGTAATCAAGATTGAAAAGAGGATCGTTTTAATTGCTTCCTTCGTCATCGATCCGATGACTATATAAAATTTCGATTACTCTTAATTGGCATTTTATTTTCAAAAATTGAAAGCAACAATTATATTTATATCTGCAATAGTTTTATAATTTTCCAAAAAAATTTTCACGGTATCTCAGTTTTTGAAAAAGTTATTTCTATAAAAATTATAAACTGTATTCAATTATATTAAATTATAAACTATATATATTATATATTTTTAAAAAATCGTGAAATCCTATATTCATAAAGAATTCTATAATTTTTAACATATTTTATCAATAATTCCGGTCTCTTTATTTTTAAATCAATTTTTAATTTCTCTGATATAGCACGTTTCACACATAAAGTATCAGAATTATTGGTGGATATAAAGGAAACTGTTGCTAAAACTTACAATTTTTGAAAACGAAATGTCTTGAGACGAATCTGACTTTTTTAAAATTCTTACTCGAGATGTACCACCTGCGATACATTGTAGTCAAACAATTGTTTCGATCACGTATTATTGATTCTACCTGCATACAAGGAAGAGATCTCGTGCAGATCTTCGAGGTCACTCACTCTTTGGCCACTCGTGCGAAAACGTTGTCTCGAGGAACTCGACTTTTGTCGTACACCTTACCGTGTGTCGGACTGTCTGGAAATACTGAGAACCGTTTCTCTGCAAGAAACCAATGATACCTAATACAGAAAACCGTAAGACTGTTCTGTCCTAGCTCTGTCTCTCGGAAGGTTCGGCCGCATACTATTCACAAGAATCAATTTCTAAAAATCTAATATAAGAAATATCTCTTCTTGATACTTGCGACTTCTTGAAACTTTACATTTATTATAATTAGCTTTTGAATAGAAAAATCACGTAATTTTTTCGTGTGAAATATTATCAAACTAATGAAATATTTTAATTTATTTTAATTATATAAAGTTAATTTATTCATGTTATTATGAAATCTTGAAGGGAGTTTATATATAAGGTAAAGAGAGCTTCATGAAATAGAAAATGTTTGTCGCATTATGCAAATAATTGTCAATTAATTTTGATAAAATTAATTCTGATATTCGAGATTTTACTGGAATCATTCTGCTTGTGCGCTTTCCAGTCATGACAAACCGGTAAGGGTTGAGAAGCGAAGGACAACTTCCCTTTAAGGAGTAAAGCCGACCGATACGGACTAACGGGTTCACTCAATTCGTAAAATCGATGAAGAAAAATGCAGGGCACACTTAAAGTTTCTTCATTGTGACACCTGTCCGCGCTTCTTTTCCCGAGATCATCGAACGATAATCGCAAGGTCGACCTTACGTGACGTTGTTGAATTATTTGTATTGAGTTAGTTAAAGAACAGTACTTAATCTAGTGTGATTTCTCATTTATAAAATTGAAAATTGCTTTTTGTTTTTTCAAAATTACAGAATAATAATTTCTTTTTTGTCTTCGACGTATCTGTGATCAAAGTTCACACACATGGCTCTTATTGCGCGAATAAATCAAACTTCTATATTTAGTCAATATATCCTCATTGGAGATCCCTCTTTTTCGACGATGATGAAGGATAATAGGGATGTGAAAAAAAAACGCAATTCACGAATCGATCATTTTGTACTCGTCTGATATCGCATATAACTGGGCATATTCTTCTATAAATTACCTTCCACAAATGGTACCTTTGATATGATGAATATCACAAAGATTGCGGGTTCGACCGGAATTAACCTTATAGTGGGATTACCAGCTGCAAATGTCAGTGAGACTCATTCTTGCCGTTTCATAATATTTCGTCGTATTCGTTTCATTTCATTCAACGACATATTAGGTTATTTCCTGTTAAGTGATTACACACCACACACCTGACAGGATAATTAGGTATTAATTCCTTTGCTCTCTGATTAATCGCTCTGCATAATTGTGCATTTCTCTCTATTTTGAAAGTATATAATATATATTATATAATATACGAAAATATATATAAATAAACGCATTACATTTTAATATTTAAAATATTTAAAATAAGTAAATAATTAATATTTAAAATAATTAAAATAAAGATACAATTCATACGTATATTTATTTCTCTCTATATCATTTCTCTATTTGATCATCAAATTAATAAAATAATAAATTCTTTCAATTATTTTTCTACAAACGCTATATTTTACATTACATATTGACTATCTCGTATTTAATTTTTTATACGTGTACATATAACAATTATTTTGCGTACAATTAAATTTCCGAGTAGATTACTTTAAGATCAAATTTTCAATTAGAAAAATCTTTTTTTTTTGTGTAGGGCACAACTACGTCAGAAATCGAAATGTAGCTGGTGGCTTGAGTCAGGTCGACAACAAGACATTGCAGTGGTTTGGCGCCACGGTTTCAACCTCTAACAGGGATGGAGGTCCGATTCTGGTAAGTACAACTTCTCTGATATCGAAGTGCACGATTTGCATTTTATTTGAAACGTCAGCGTCACGTTTTATTAGCGTATAATAATTATTTGATAATAACATGTAACTGCTTTAAATGGAGCAACTATTTAATTATGAAAATTAATTAATTATGAATTACTATTAATTATGAAAATACGTAATGAATTTTTAATTAATGAATTGCTTATATTTAATTGATATATTTCGTTGGCACAAATTTTAACTACAATAAATATTAATATGTTATATTTCTGGCAATTTAAAATAAAATGTTTTATTCTTCTTTAGAGACATAATAAAATAATAATATACATTTTATAATAATATTAATTTTTAACGCGAGACATTATTATTTCAGCAGAAATATTAACTTTTTTTAGCTGCGTATGTATACGTCGTGTTTATAATTCGTAGAAATCTTGAGGTGTTATGAAAGTTTAATGAAATAAACGATATGTGCCAATGAAAATAAACGATGAGGCTTTAGTTGAAATCTAGGCGATCTCAATCTCTCTTTATCAAGAGAAACTCTTTTAAAGCCAAGAAAAGATAAGAATATATTTTAGAAAAATATATAAAAAGTGATGAAGAGATTGTTCATATTTTTTTTTCTAACTTTTAATATATTTATTTGTGAGATCTATAACTAGAGTTTCGAATAGATCTTCTAAGAGATTACAGTCGTGTGTTCCCAGAAGGCCACAGCTTCTATTTCAGGGTTCGAAAACAAACGAATTCCCGGCGCGTTCCTTGTTTCATTTGTGACTTCGAGACGTCTCGCGAGCGGGTCAAATTAGCACGGAATTTACAAGTTAAATTATTTATTTTTATACTGTGCACATTAACGTGTAGTATGATAAAACTAAATGAAGAGTATATTAATTTCCATTATTTTTCATTTATAAATATTGAGAAATAATCTAAATTTCTCTAAAGAGGCATACATAAATATAAAATAGTACAGCATAAAAAAGATATAAATATATACATTATAAAATGGTATACTTTTTAATTTTTGATTATACTCAGCTACAAAACTCTTATTTCTTTTCTCGGACACAAAATTACAATCTTCATTCAGTCTCGTCTAGCCCTTTTCGGCTGCACCCCTTATCTCATCAACACTCGCCATCTGCGATACGTGTTGAAGTCATTATCTGCCCGCTCGTAACTTCCACGCAGATTTCTAATTCAGAGTGCGTGCGGAGGCTCCGTTACGGCGGTCCGGCACGTTCGCGATGTAACGCGCCGCCGCCCTCGCTTAGATGCGTTTCTCGCAATGGATTTCTCGCGCCCCACAAGCAGGGAAGTCGGATATGCACCAATCTAGCGCGAAGATCTTCGCTCTTCCCAGAGTCCTTTTTTTTTCTCCCTCCTCCCCCCTCCCCCTCCTCCCTCCCTCAAATCGTGCGGCGGTCCCTATGATGTGCGAGAGCCGTCTTTATCTATCTTTATGTGCGCTGCGCTTCCGCGCGCAGGAGACTACGCCGCACGCATGTGCGTATGCTCATCACGCACGGCTGCGGTGGCCGCTATGATGGCGAGATGCGGAGATTGAACGAGTAAGCGGGTAAAAGGGTAAGCCAGGAAGCGGCGTTTGCAAAATACGCAGACGGGCAGAACTCACGTTTTCAGGGCGATTTAGTTACAACGGGCTCTTTTTCAGGGCGTATAATTAATTTCGTGCTGCATTAATTTGATTTTTTGCGCCATAATTATGTCACGTGCTTTCTGTTAATTTTTTTTAACTGTCAAATTTGTCATATTGGGTAATATCGCGTTATTTATAATTTTCTATCTGCATTTTTTCCTTTATATAATTATTATTATTATATATGAAAGGATTTTAAAAATATTTATCTCGTATTAGTATTTATTTCAGCATTAATATTTAGTTTGTCCATTTTTTTATATTACACTTTTTGTGTTTATATAAAAAATTTTTACAAAGGTAGCATTCGTTAAAAAATTACGAGTTATTAAATTACTCTTTTATCAAAATGCAGAAGACTATTTTGATCATTTGTGTTCAGCTCATTCATAACGTTAAAGTAATCTTAGGTGATTGCGCGATTAAAAATGATGTGTGAATGACTAGTGGATTTCGAAGAAATTCGACACGGTCGGAGTGAATCGGGGACTCACGATGGGCAACGAACGAGGAGGACAGCCATAAATAAGGCCGCATTCGTATGTGAAAGGCGTATTAGCGACGATTATCGTTCTCATGCTCGCGTAATTTTCACATAGCGAGATGTCGCCGCCCGTCAACGACATTCCCATCCTTCCCTGACGCGCCGACATTATTCCGAAATTATCTACTTACTCCAGAATGCGAGAATGCACGTTCACTAAACGCACTTTTTTCGCGATTGCTCTCTCTCGCTTTCTCCACATCGCTTTTGTCTCCCCAATGTGTAGATTAAAGTAAGTAATTACTACTGATGCAGAAAGTTTCATTTCTTTGTTCTACTGTTTTCTCCTACTTTTTTCGTAAAAATTAATTCTTCCATTTGTTCATAAAAATTATTAGTAATACATACAAGATATATAAAAAATAATACGCACCATGATAGTTATTAAAAAATAAATGATTCATTCAATGAAGTGATTGCAATTGAGAGGAAATAGATTATCATAGATCAGATTCTATTTCTAGATACTTTTAATTTCATTCCTGCCAATAAGAAATGTAATTCATAAAGGTCTGACAAAATTTAATTTATGCGAGTGATTAGTTTGTTCGTCCATTTGAAAAAAATTACAGCCGATGGAAATCGACGAGTGTCTTATTTTACGACCGGAGGTGCGTGAGTCGCATGTGCGATACAGAGACTTTAATGCGCCTGTCGGTGTTAAAACAATGCGTCGATGCGTTATATTATATTCTCGTCACGCATGGTTGATGTTTGCTGGTGAGTTCGGTGCCTTTCGAAAATCATATACGGGTGTAAGCATATAAATTTGTGTCTAACCCTCTTTAAAATTCTTGTAATGAAAGTGTGATCGAAAGAGAGAAATCACAAATAAATCTATCGAGTAATGAATACATTAGCGAATCAAATAATTAACGCCATTTAGTATAAATGGAAATGCAATAGTTTCTCTATTTCAACAAATAATATTATTATTAAATAAAAAACAGCGGTATAAGTTTATTGAAATGTTTGTGAGAAGTTGCTTTGTAGCATGAATTTTAAAATAAGGTAAAATTAACAAATTTATGAATTTATGAATTAAAAATCAAAATAATTAATTATGTGTCGTTTTGCAAAATCCGATTTTTTGTTCAACAATGATTGATTCTTCTAGTTCAAATTTCACAAAAAAAATTAAATCGACTACTTGATTATACATATAAGTTTTCATCATTTTTTTTATTGTATAAATAGGCAAAAATCGAAGTGGCCAAAGGCGATTGTTACCTTGGAATAGAAACTTGTTAATGCTCTTTGTCGGATACATTGGCGAATAATGGTTCATTTCGATCTCTAGTGGCGAATTTCACGCGTTTAGTCATCGATTGGTTTACCACCGACGAGTGCTTTTACCATTAATTGCCCCCGAGACAAAAAGATCGCGTGTAAAGATCGTGTACGAAAGGTGAACGAAGGCGCCGTAGGTGCTGGAAGGTGTTTTTAGTTTTATGCAACGATGTTTATCGCCTCATGAAGTCACGGTCTAGGCCCTACGATTTATAAAGACTCGAATCCTAAAGATTCAAATGACTTATTATTATTATTATGTCATATCAAGTCAATCTCTCTCGCAAGAGAAATATAAACATCAATTTATAATAATAAATTTAAGTTTTATTTGATATAATCCATATTCTAATGCATCTTATTCTGGTAAACACGATCTGGGGCACGTATAATAAACCGATGCCTCTGGCATTATGTTTACGAGTCCTCGTGCGTCAGTGCGATTTAACGATCTTGTGGTTACGAGGGCGGCATCGAAAGGTCGTTTCCTGGTTGCTCTTTCGTTTCTCTATGTGCAACGTGTGTAGGGGTAATTTGTAGGTCGTGTGGAATGCTAGATCTTCTTGGTCATCGTAGAAGTCGGTAAGAGCAATATTCGCGCGAATAAAGAGAGAGAGACTGGCCTCTCCCAGCGGACCTTTCACCACTGACGCATTCCTCCCTTTCGCGCATCCTCGGTGCAGACGCATCGTCCTTTTTTTACCGCAATCCAATTCAACGGCACTTCTTAATCTGTTTCTTCATCGCGCCCCCCTGTACGCGTTTCTCTCGCGATCTGCCGACATTTCAAAGATGCGGCCCCCGCCTTGATTGCTAACAGATGTTTCGCGTTTCGGACTTTTCTCCGGCGCACTCTTCCTCTCTGTCTAAATAAAGCGAAGGTGTGGTCCGCTATTATTCGATGCAACATGTTTATGGACAATGCACTTTCTATCGATGAGATGAATATTTCTTTATCATTGATTTCACCGATTAAAAAGTATCGTAGCAATTGAAGACAATCGAATCAATATTCTCATAATTGTTTATTCTTTCATAATTTTCTTGCGACTATTAAATGATTATTTTTTAAAAAGATGCACAAGTATAATTATTTATAAAATCAATTCTTCTTAACGAATTTTGGATTCGTTGACCTTCGCTATCATACCGTAAATTTCGCTGCATTAACATGACGTTTGATTTCGATTAAATCTGCAAGGAGAGGATTCGGTGAATGCAGGGAACAATGCAGAAAGAGGACCCGAGACGAAGACCGGAACTTCTCCGTGGAAGCAAAAAAGCGTTCGGCTGGGTGAAGAGAGGCAGAAACGAAGGAACAATCGGTAACAATAAAATATAGTCGAGACAGAACGATAAAGTCACGATGTTGTTGTCCCCACTGGCGAGTCGCTTTCGCTTTCGTCCTCCTTGTCGTCGTCGATGTCGGCAAAAACGCATCGATTAAAAAGTTAACCAAGCCCACCGCGCGATATCAAAGCAGAGGACAATCGCG